CGCTCTCTTCTGCCCTTAGGGGGCCTATGTCCTCCACATCTCATGTCTCCAAAGTCATCCTGATCACAAATGAGTATATTGGGACAGGAAGTGAGGCCAGGCTGGGTCATCTCCAACCAGCAGTCTTTCCTTCTAGGTTGGATAGGCAGCTAGACTCCTGGGTCAGCCTGAGGGTAAAGCTGGGACCGGGCATAAGCGGGGGTCAGCATCTCCTGCAGCTCCAGAGAGACTGACAGAGAATTCCCTGGGGCAGAGTTTGGTGGAGGGGGTGGGGGTGGGGGGTGTCTAACACCTTGCTCTGCTACAGCATCCTTCAAGCCTCGATTTCTAGAAGCAACTCTCTCCCCTCCCAGGCTGTGGTGGGCAATCAGTCCCAGACAAGTCTTCCTGCAGGCCTGCTTGGGGATTGTCCTGCCCAGGGCTGTGCACTCTCACCCCCTGGTGGCTCGGGCATGAATTGCAGCTCCAAACCCTCCAGACTAGGACGAAGGGGAGACAGGGAGTAAGAGGACAGCCTCTGGGCCTCTATTCCATCACAGACCCCAGGCCAAGGGCCCCTTCTGAAGCCTAGTCCTGGACCTTAGGCTTGGTTCCCCAAGAGAGAGAGGCTTGCAGAGAAGATTCCCTGCAGATGGTGAGAACCCCTTCCTGTCACTCCGGCTGGACTTACGGACCCACAGTAACCAGATACTTTCTCTACCAGCCTCACCCCTTGTTTAGTTCCCTCCAGTTGGCTCCAATCCATAGCAACCCTGTATAGGGTTTCTGAGGAGTGGCTGGTGAGCTTGAACCACCGACCTTGCAGTTCAAACCTACTTTGCCACACCAGGACTCCAGCCTAACCCCACCGATGCTGCCAAACTCAGTGAGAACTGGGGGGCAGCAAGGCCATCTGTCCGATTGGTGATCTTCCCATAGGAGACTGATTGCTAGTCCTAACCACTCGCCTCTCGGGTCCCAAAGCCTTTGGTCACTTTACCATATTGGACAAAACACAGACCTTGAAAGGTTCTTTACAACAAATGATGCCATTCTTCTAGTTTGTCATTTGTGGCATAGATCACATACCAGTCAATTTCAACTCACTAAATGTGCTAGACTGTAAGTTAGCTTTGAACCGCAAGGTCACTGGTTCAAACTCACCAGCCATTCCTCAGAAACTCTATAGAGTTGCTATGAGTCATCTGATCGACAGACCACACAAAATCACCAAGGTCAGCTCACCAGCCGCTCCTTGGAAACCCTATACAGGGTCACTATGGGTCACAACCGACTGGACAGCACTTAAGAATGCCTAGGATAAAGTACTAGAGTGCAAGGTCATTTTGAACCACAAGGTCAGCAGTTCAAACTCACCAGCCTCTGAGAAAGCCACATTAGGTTTGTTCTGACTCAGAGACTCTTTAAGAGCAGCTGGTGAGTTGCTGCTCTTAAAGTCCTGCAGGGCCTATACAGGGGAAATGGATCTTCAAGTATTCCATTTCATTTTTTAAAACCCCAATTTTCCTATAGTCATACATGACATACTGCATCAGGCAAATCTGGTTACAAAAGACCTCAAGGGTTTTAAGGTTTACCTGACCCGTATGCATGGAAAGCTGGAATTGATGCCTTTGAATGTTAGCATAGACTATCGTGTAAGCAGTCTTAAGCCAAAGATGAAGACTTCTTCCCAGAACATTTTGGACATTATGATACTAATTTCTGGAGGACATGTTTGGTTAAAGGGTCAGGCAAAAAGAGGAAGCTCCTCATAACATGAAGGAAAACGTGGCATCAGGATTGGAGGAAGACTTATTAACAATCTCAGATATGCGGATGATACAACCTTGCCTGCTGAAAGTGAAGAGGACTTAAAATATTTACT